GGTGATAAGCCACGAACACGGCATCGACCCAACCGGGACCTACCATGGGGACAGCGACCTGCAGCTGGAGCGGATCAACGTGTATTACAACAATCTCTCAGGTTTAACTTAGCTTCTTTTGCTAAGCATTCTTAGCTACACGGTTAGATCAGATAATTTGTGAGACCGAAGGTAATACAATACTTTGACGGCAAACCCCCCATAAGCTCTGTGTTTATCCAGCAGAGGGCCTTCAACCTCCGTTTGTTAAATTCAACGGTTACTATGGATCAGTTTCGCTAACAAAGTCTACCACAACTTTTCCGCTTCAGTTATTCACCTTACTTGAAATCAGACAATTAATACATAAAAAGGTTAGCATTTCATTGTGAAAAGATAGTAATGGGGTRAACAACATTTGACTGCATAATGTAAATTTATAATAAAGCACAAAGTCAGTATTAAATGATTAATATAAATTTTGTTTAGACCTTTTCCRCGTATTTTTGTTTCTCAGGCGGCAAGTATGTTCCTCGTGCAGTTCTGGTGGACCTGGAGCCTGGCACTATGGACTCTGTGAGGTCTGGTCCTTTCGGTCAGGTGTTCAGACCTGACAACTTTGTCTTTGGTGAGCATTTTAGTTTGAAAAATAGCAGTTTTACACATTTACGTACGCTACAACATCTTAACTTTTGTGTGTCACAGGCCAGAGTGGAGCTGGTAATAACTGGGCTAAAGGCCACTACACTGAGGGAGCTGAGCTGGTGGACTCTGTTCTGGATGTGGTGAGAAAAGAGGCCGAGAGCTGCGACTGCCTCCAGGGCTTCCAGCTCACGCACTCTCTGGGAGGAGGCACAGGTTCTGGCATGGGTACGCTCCTCATCAGKAAGATCCGAGAGGAGTACCCGGATCGCATCATGAGCACTTTCAGTGTTGTGCGCTCACCTAAGGTTCGTATAATTCATTCAAATATGTTCAGATGAAATGTTTGTCCCTTTTCCTGCTAACCCTGTTCCATCTTCCTTTGTTCCTCTTCCAGGTGTCAGACACGGTGGTGGAGCCCTACAACGCCACGCTCTCTGTCCACCAGCTGGTGGAGAACACAGATGAGACCTTCTGCATCGACAACGAGGCCCTGTATGACATCTGCTTCCGTACTCTGAAACTCACCACACCCACCTACGGTGACCTCAACCACCTGGTCTCAGCCACCATGAGCGGGGTGACCACCTGCCTGCGCTTCCCTGGCCAGCTGAACGCCGATCTGAGGAAACTGGCTGTCAACATGGTGCCCTTCCCCAGGCTGCACTTCTTCATGCCAGGCTTTGCCCCCCTGACCAGCCGGGGCAGTCAGCAGTACCGGTACTGGAACACAACCGAGTTATTTTAACCGTGAAACCACAATTTGGGTTTTTGTTCAAACTAAAACTGACTTTTTGTTTTGTTTTCCTCCACCCTCAGGGCTCTGACGGTTCCTGAGCTCACCATGCAGATGTTCGATGCCAAGAACATGATGGCAGCGTGTGACCCGCGCCACGGGCGCTACCTCACAGTCGCCGCCATCTTCAGAGGACGCATGTCCATGAAGGAAGTGGACGAGCAGATGCTGAACGTGCAGAACAAGAACAGCAGCTACTTCGTGGAGTGGATCCCCAACAACGTCAAGACGGCCATTCAGGAGCTGTTCAGGCGCATCTCAGAGCAGTTCACCGCCATGTTCCGTCGCAAAGCCTTCCTCCACTGGTGAGTAAAACACACAGAGCAGGTCTGTGTGCTGGTGCTGGTCTGTTCTGACAGCTCTGTTCCTGTGACAGGTACACTGGTGAAGGTATGGATGAGATGGAGTTCACCGAGGCTGAGAGCAACATGAACGACCTGGTGTCAGAGTATCAGCAGTACCAGGACGCCACCGCTGAGGAAGAGGGAGAGTTTGAGGAGGAAGGTGAAGAGGACGTGGCCTAAACACCCACAGTGATTTATTTCAGGCTTTAAACCTGATCAGCAATAATCAGTTCAGTTTAAACAATATATATAATATAGTGTTCAGTAAATGTTCCTTTCTAGAGTTTAATAAAGCTTTTTGACCTGGTGCTACAGCTGGTCTCATGTTTTTTTTTTCTAAGCTGTATGTTTTTGTGGTTTACTATTCTGAATCTGAAATTCAGTTTTACAAACTCAACGGGATGAAACAGGAAATATCAGATTATTTGAATTATAGATAAAAACTTTCTGCTCTTTATTTGCATACAACAGAGATTCAACTGAACAATATGTGAACTGTATTTTACATCGACATAACCAAATGAGTTAAAATCCGAACCAAAATTAAAAATCGTTCTGTAATGTTGGTGTCGAACATCAGAAAAATGATCTGAAGGAGGCTGAAAATCAGGATTTTTACACTTTAATGTATTTTGATGTACTGATGTTTTGAACCCACTTTCTTCCCAAACCATTTTATTAACACTTAATGGCAACAATAGCTGCTTTTGTTTTGGGCAGTTTTCTTTTCAATAAGATAAGAGTTGAATTCATACAGAAAAGCTCAAATGTGGAGAAATAAATCTCCCATCATAAGGAATGACTAAAACMHGTTAAGGACATTTTCTGTTRGAATACAGATGATTTTAGAGTTAAAAAGCTTTGTTTTTTGTCTGCTGCTTGATCAGATTCTTCCATGTGCCTCAAACTAAAAAATAAACGAAAAAGATGAAGGTACTGACGATGAACAGGAAAGAAATACAGACAAGTGAGGATTTAAAAAAAATGTCAAAATAAGAGGCACAGCATTTTCTCCAATATGTTAAATTTCCCTTAAAATGGTAAAAACTCATATCTCTTTCTTTCTGAGGGCTTTTTGTAACATTTTATCAGCTGAATCAAAGGTTTCCAAATAGAAAATGCATCATGGGAAATAAAAACAGTTGTAAAMCTGCAGTGTTGATTCTTGTGACGCGGCCTCCCCCAAAACAAGGTTGAAATGTGAATACGCTGTTCAAAATGTCCTGATGTATCTCAGTAATCCAGGTAGAAAAAATTCTAAAAGAAAAGTAGTAGAACTTATTGATGCACCTCTTCAGATAAGCAAAAAAGATAAACAACCTTTAAATACCTGCATCAATTAACCTTTGACAGTTCTGTTCTTTATCTGTTCACTGATCTGCAGTGAAACYATTTCTGGAAAAGTTTTTAACTTGTACAACCTGCTAAAACAGACCTGTCAAACTGTAGTGACGTTTTAACAGTGACATGTTTAAACAGAACATTTAAGGCAGAGGTTCTCAAACTGGGGACCCAGGACCCTGCGAGAGGTATCTTGGGGGTCCTCAAACGTTTTTACTAAAATGTTAATTTGGTTTTTATTTTTAAAATGCATGGAGAACAATGAACTAATAAAACAAACAAACTTAATATAAAAATATATATTCTCATGGCATTTAGGGGTTGAAATTACAATATATTATCTTTTAAAACAGTATAAGGTTTATGAGGGGGGTCCCCAAACCCGAATGGCTTGAGAACCCCTGATTTAAGGCATGATTCAAATAGTGTCTAACCAATGATAATCTGTAAATATTCAGCCACACAAAAGTTGTTTGAAAAGGAATTGAAGTTTTTATTTTTTGTTTCTTGATTATTATTGCTTTAATTAGTTTTGGAAAAAAAGGGGCAGATATTTCTTCTTCTGCCTTCTTTCATTTCAAGTGTGATTTTTTTTGTGTATGAAATTTTTATTTTTAAATGAAATGAATAAATGAATTTTAAAAAGTTAAAAGCACACAAAATATTACTTTGATACAAGCTAGATTTTATTAGAAGTTTTGTTTAACCTTTGAAGTATCCAGTTCTACAAAATAAGCACGTGGTCCTGGTCAAACATTAGAAAAGTTTTAGTAAAKACAAAAAAAAAATAGATAGTATGTATGTACCCTTTCTGGACTACACAGCAGCCAGTCAGAATTACATTGTAATGGAATGCAGTTCAGGGGTCAGTTAACCTAGTTTTCACTTCGTCAACTTTTAAAAATCATCATTTGGTAGTTAACACACACAAAAATAACAATAAATCACCTTTTAGGTCAGCAACATTTAAGATGAGTGTGCAGCAGAGTCATGAAAACAAGGGAAAGAAAACTTCAAAATCAACAAAATTGATTCATTAAAAAAAATTAAAAGAAATCTTATGTGATTCATTAGCAATATTTCAGTTTTTGTACTCAAGAGCTGAATCCCTTAAGAGAAAAGCTGAAATTTTGTGATTTATGCTAAAAASTTAAACAATCTGAACTGGGAATTTGATGCAGAACAGGTCCTTTGTCTCTTCATCTCGCAGTTCCCACTCCACAACCAGCTTTATCTAGAAAAGCAGAAGAGAAGGGGGAGAATTGTATCATTTCACGTGACAGAGAAACTGAAAAAAAAAAAGCCGCCTCGAGTTGTCCCACATCTGTTCTAAAAAGCAGAAACGGACGAACCACAAAACAGCCTTTGCTAATGATCCCACAGACACTTTTAGGCTAACTGAGAATATACACTTACAGGACAATTGAAGTAAATGTATTTACAAATCTAGTACCAGTCAGTCAGGTTTAGTCATGCAGACTGAACAGCAGAACCACTTACTGCGGGGTACTCAGACTTCACAGGTAGCGTGGCCACATAATGATACATCTGCTGCTTCTGGATGGGACACTGGATTCCCGACTTGCAGCCATCTTCCACAGGAATGGGGAAAGGGATTGGGATGGCGGCGACAATACCGTGAACCACAGCTGTGCTCTTCGGGGTATCCACCACTGAAAGACGAAACACGAGAGAGACGATCAGGGACTTTAAAAAGGGACAGGTGTTTTGGTAAGAAACCCTTTATAATGGCAGACGAAAGCCAGCTCACCACTGCTGAAAGTCACATTGACTGTGTAGGAATCTCCTCTCTGAAGATGGCATGGCTGAGTGGGACAAGGGTTAATATCCACTTGTATCACTTTGCCAGAGACAGAACCTGGAAAACAAGTAGGTTTTAATTTTACAAATGTACACATTCAAATTGTGGGAAATCATATTTGGATAGGCCCCTTTAACTGTAATTAAATCAGAAACGTCAGATCAATGATGTCTTCAAAATGGAACTGTGTAAAAACAATTGATCTAATAATCATTAACTATCACGATTAGATTTGTCACATTCCAGCTCATTAAAGTAATTTCTGGTCAATGGGGTCTGATGAAAGAATAAAAAGGCTTAAAAAATAGTTTAAGGGAACGCGTTCGAGTCACGTGACTTTGCTCAAATTTTCTTGTAAACGTCAATAAAAAAACGTTAGTCTTTAAAATTAAGTACTTTCATCCTTACAGTTTTTAATAGTCGTTTCTAAGGCAACTTAACCAAGATATATAAGKGGTCAAAATTAAATATAAAACTTACCACAATCAACAAATTTCACTTGATCCGCACAGGTGAGTCCCATCAGGCAGAACAAAACCAGGATACCGAACCGGCTGTCCATGTTTCTGAGTGTGTATTGTCCTATGACAAAAGTAAAGCCTAAATTAYAACAACAGCTGACTAAAGGGAATAAAATGGAGAGAGATTTCAGAAGTTGCAAAATAACAAGTGTCGCACTCACTCCGCCTAAARTTAGCACCACTACACTTAATGTTTCTGCTATTGACAACACAAACACGACGGCTACTTCACATTTACTGGAGTACTACGAGGTATAAAACTCTAAAGTAACAAGACTCTAAAGCAACAAGACGTACCTTAATCAAGATTTCCTCTTACGACTAAAATAAAAAACTCATCATCGTCACGCGATTTTAAGCCACGCCCCCACCACTTCCGCCTCATCAATTTCGCGGTTTTAAAACGTCAACAAAGTCTTCAGTACTGCCCTCTACTGGACAGAACTGTGAACTTCAACTTGCGCCAGGAGTAAAATGTGGTCAAATACACTTTGTGTCAAATAAAATTTTATTTATTGCTTTTTGCAGTTGTCGGCAATTCTTTCAGTCACCAAGCATCCAAATAATTTAAGCGAATACGAAAATCGTTTTTTTGTGATATTACTGACAGCTTCCCACTCATTTTTTGACCCAGATTTTCTACCTAAACTTTCAATCTCTATTTTGTTGAAATATTTGTTTTTCTTATATGTGTTCGCTGCTCAAAACTTTGCCTCATTGAGTATTATAATGGCAAGATTAAAAGTGAAGCATCTTCACGTCACGTACAGTGGGGCGGGTCTAACGAATATATTCTAAACTGACAGATGTCTAAACGAATCAAATTGCCGTATTACCAAAAAAAGGCGTGTCTTTTTACAAACAGATAATTTAGCCAATCAGCGCGTACATTTGTGGTTAAAAGGCGTGTCTACGGTCACTTTGTTTTGAAGATGTCTGTGGTTAAAGGAGCTTTAATAACGGCGTGCTGGTCCAAAATATTAATTTCGAGGTAATATTATTGTTCTCGTATACTTTACACCATGTCGGTTTTCTTTTAACAAAATGGYTATTTGTAAATAACGTGCGTAGATAGTTTTTACCAAATCGTGTTTTGTAACAGGCTAACACGTCGTTAGCTCAGCTGCTAATGTCGTCACGGGTTCTGGTTCTCATGAAAACATTGTCATATTTCTTAGGACATGTGCTCATTTGAAGAAGCACAATGTGACTGAACAGTTCCACCGTCTTCCTCAAAACACCCAACCCCTTTACATAGCGGGGCTTCGGGGATTGAGCAGCGCCTCGGTCCAGGAGAAGACCGGGGGGTCGAGTCCATCTGAGAATAACAAAATACACCTGACAGAGTCATGTGTGAAGGTGAGCAGATACTCTGAATTATTGGTACTGCTGCAGCTATTCCTATATAACTACGATTACTATAGTTATTTACTAAATCTTTAAAAACAAACAAGTTTCTGCCCAACTAAAATATAGTATTTTTAAAGGATGTCTTTCATTTTATTGTTTAAAATAAATTTAAAAGATAGATTTTGACTCTAACGTCTTTTATCTGCTCGTGTTTTGAAGTTTTATGAGTAATTAGGATTGAAATGTTATTTGTCAAAAGATTTCAAACAGCTTAACAAGTCAATAATAAAATAAAAATGCACGGTATTATCATTTTTATCATCTGTTGGTAGAAAAAGGCTTCATCTGAAATGTTCTTTCGATCCAGAGACTGTCAGAAATCATGGAGAAAGGCGAGTACCTGAGAATACAGGTGGAGGGAGGAGGCTGCTCTGGGTTCCAGTACAAGTTTTCTGTCGACCGTAACAGAAATGAGGACGACAGGTAAACTTCGTGATTGTTTTCCCCCCAGATGAGGTTGTGTCCTTTCTGTGTAYTAGTCCTCCCCTGAATCTGCTCTCTGCTGTCAGAGTGTTTGAGCAGGGAGGAGTGGGCGTTATCGTGGACCAGGACAGCCTGGAGTTTGTGAAAGGAGCCACTGTGGACTTCAGTCAGGAGCTGATCCGCTCCACCTTCCAGGTGCTGAAGAACCCTCAGGCTGATCATGGCTGCTCCTGTGGAAGCTCTTTTTCTGTGAAATTATGACCCATACTTAGATTCTTCAGTATACGAGATGCTTTAATACAAATAATTATCATATATTCAGAAAGGCAAATCTTTTTCATCAACAAGATACAAAAGAGTCTTTGCCATGTTAAAGCAACGGCATTAGGTCATTCAGATATTTGTCTGTTTTTGATTTATAACTCACTGCTTCACTCAGACCTGCCAGTGAAAATGATTGAAATTCATAAATGTAAGATTTGCACTACAAAAAATGATTTCATAAAAACAAAACACCAACAACACCATGTTTTAGTTTGTTAAATAAAAAGCTTCACTGCCACAGAACCCCTCCAGTTCCTCCACAGATGTAGTTTTGTCATGGCAGTATGACATTGTCATGTTTTTCTTTATGTAAATAAAAATTAAAAATATTTTATTGTCACCAAAACCAAACCTTAAGCTGCAGCTCTGACACTGTTAATCACACTTTATTTGACTCAAATATTACTGCTGCTAATGTTCTATAAATGGACAGATTGCATGTTTTTTGTTTAGAATAATGTGATTTGTTGAATTCTTGTGACACATTAACAGATGCCCATCTGTTAATGTGTCGTATTTAATGGTGTTTGTTCCTACATCTAATGTTCTAGAAAAGCACAGTGGAGGTTATATCCAGGAAGGTCTATTTGCCACAGAATTATTAAATTTACCCAACTGGTGACTCAAATTGTTAATTATTTAGAAASATCTTTTTTGTTTTTGTGAGTGAAAATGGGTTGAAGTGAATGATCAACAAATGTATTGAATTATCTGAGGACTACCTTATTGCATGTACTAACGAGACAATAATCAGCTGAACTTTGATTTGGTTCCAACTAAACAAAGACTCAGCTGAAGTGTCTGAGCACTCAGTGTTTTCTTTACATGTAAAATATGTATATATGCTAAAATTGTAGCATGGTTACAACTTTTTAAGTTATATTGCTTCAAAGAGAAATATAAAAGATAAATTAAGATAATCAATGTTGTCCTTTCAGTCTTGTACACACACACGCACACCAAAATTAATATAGTGAGGGAAAAACTTTTCAAAATTAGAGATATTCAGTATTTACAGCAAAACGCAATGTGATTATGTGCTGAATGTTGCTGAAGAAGCTTAAACTGAGCTGAAAGCCTAAAGCAGAAAATGCTAGTTAAAAGTAGCAAAACACTGAAAGCTAAAATGTTAGTAAAAGGCTAGAAAACAAAGCGAAAAGTAGCAAAACACTAAAATTTGCAAATGCTATTAAAGATAGTAAAATTTTACCTAAACGTAGAAAAGTGCTAGTGAAAACTTAAAACATTAGTAAAGGACAAGCTAAAAGTTGCAAAACAATGGCAATTAGCAAACGCTAATCAAGGTACCAAAAAGTAGCAAAATGCTAAATAAAATCAACAAAATAATAAAATAGCTAAAAGTAGCAAAAATAGCAAAACACTAACTACAAGTAGCAAATTGAAAGTAAAAAGAGTTAATAAAAGTAGCAAGATGCCAAGTAAAACTAGAAAAAAATATTAGCTAACAGTTTTAATATACTAAAAGCTAATATTAACAACAAAAAAAAACAGCAAGTTTGTTGCAAAACATTAGCATTAGAAGTAGCATTAACAGCACTCATTCATGAGAGGATAAGTCCAAATTTTAATGCTTATAACTTTTTTATTAAAGTGGTTTAAGAAACACTTCACAAAAATATACAAAAAGAATATCTACAAATGATATGTACACTGATAAAATGTAAATCAAAAATATGCAGCAACATTTGTTTAGTTGTTAGTCTTAAATACAAGGAAATTGTTTTGCACGTTTTTTTTTCGTTACTCTGATAAACATTCCTTTTTGCAATATATTTTATCACACAAAACATTACTGTTACTATTGAGAAAAGTCACACCATTCATAATTATGAAAATGCAACAATTATATAGCAGCACACAGAAAAAAGTGACCCGAAGAATCGCAACAGTGCATTGAAAGATCAAAATACAGATGTTTTTTTCTTTTTTTCTTCCTTTTTTATTATGATTATTATTATTTTTGAGGAATTTGGTTTTGAACAGATTGTCTTCCAGTAAGCCATGCACGCTTGTTACCCACAAACAAATCCTTTAAATATGCACGAGGGGAGGTCTGAGGTCAACCAGTCAACAACACAACCACGAAACTCATAAATGGAACCAGCGGGAAGGGAGGGAGGGTGGCAACACAGTGACCAGGTCAGGTGTACAGTGCATAGTATGCTTTGGCATGCTGACATCCAGAACATAACAGTGGATGTTACATTCAGGAGGAAGGCCACAGGATTTGGAATTAACAGTAAAAATAAAATAAATGACCACAGTGATCCAAAAAGTAGAACAAATGATACAAAAAGAACCCTCACAGACACTTGGATTAAGGCTAATTCAGTTTGCTACATGTTTAAAAAAAAGATGGCATTGTCAGTAACATAGGCCTGCCCAGTGGCAAAATGTACACAGATAAGCTCATTTTTAATAAATAATTCACCACTTAATGATATGGACATATTAGGTTCTTTTTTTCTCTAATGTAACAGATGAGAGTATCACCTGTTTTTTAAAAACAGGACTGAGACTTAAATGAGTTTTGCACATATGCATGCACCAAGGTTTGAGGCAGTAATCACCACTTTTAACTCGTCGTCAAGCTGCCAGGTCTTTACTCCTCCTTTTTCTCCGTGGAGCCCTGTCAGGAGACGCTCCCTTGAGGCAGGGTGGTGGTCCAGGTCAAGAGTTTTTAATGTGGGGTGTGGACGCACCTCCACACAAAGAGGCTGGGGAGGTGACACAAGAGGGAGGCATAAATTAGTGCGATGGCGTCGTATCGTTTGTAAAGTTTGATGGCTCGTTCGCACGAATTGTACCTTCTGTCATCCCCTCCGGCGCTGACAACAAAGTGATCTCCGTTTGTGAAGCGAATGTTCATCAAGTGAGCAGAATGGCCCAGGAAGCGTTTGTGTTTGGCCTGAAAACAGATCAGAGTCTCTTTTTTTAACTGAATGCTGGTTGACACTGATGACATGTTAAAGAAAGAACTGCTAAAGTTAAAACAAATAAAACAGAAGCTGAAACCAGTTGTTATGGCAATATTTATTTAACAAAGACAGAAATACGTGGTCCAAGAATGAAGGTACTCCGTGAGATGATCAGCTGAGTTTTATTGCAACAACAGGAAACACAGAGAACAACCTGTACTGTCTCTGTGCCTCTGCCTTTCTCTGTCACTCCACTCCCCACTGTCCGCTGTTGAACACTGTTGATGCAGTTGAGAGGCCTCATAT